ACGCTGATGACGCGCACTACTATATAAAGACCAGGACCCTATCCCACATGCATTCCTCACTGTCCACCATCATCATCACCGTTTCCATGGAAACATCCTTTAACACCTGCATTGAGGAGATAAGGCTGGATGCAGCAAAACTTCCTGGCAGCTAAATAGCTCCAAAAACAGAAGCTAATTTTAGTTGGCACACCAAACCAGGTCCAGGCCATCCCCATGGACCACATCCACCTTTCTGGTAAAACATACCCCTCTCCAACAGCAGGTTTACCAAACCTGGTGTATAAGATTTGACCGACATCTGGACCTTTGACACCACATCACACCTTGTGCAAACCTTTCCTACTACAACCTCAGGGAACATGCAAAAACTCCTGTCAGATGCTGAACAATCTGGTCCATGCCTTCGTTTCCTCATCGACTCCTAGCGGGGAGCCTTTCAGACTTATGCTCCAATACGTACAGAACAGTGCCGCTAGGATCCTGACGAGGGTGAGAAAGTACAACCACATCACAACCGTCCTTCATTCCCTCCACTGGCTTCCCGTCTCATTCAGGATTGAATACAAGATCTCACTGCTCACCCATCAGTGCATCCACGGGAATGCTCCATCATACCTAAAATAACTACTCACATCACAAACCTCCACACGCAACCTCCGTTCCACAACAAACCATCTGCTTCGCACCCCCACCCCCAGGACCAAACTCCGCGCAATGGGGGATCGGGCTTTCTGTGCAGCTGCTCCTCACCTGTGGAATTCCCTCCCAGACCACCTGAGGACTCCACAGACCACTGAAGCCTTTAAGAAAGGCCTAAAAACAAATGTTTAGGCAAAAGTGCAGATCTGTAATGAGGACCCATCTGTGAAGAATAACACAAGTGTTATAACCTAAAGCAAAACAAATGTCCCAAACTACAGGAAGTACTTGAGGAGTAGTGGAAACAAGACTGCACTCTGCATGTTTGTGAGCAACTACATTGTCAATGCTGCCCCACAGAGACTACACTCAGGATTTGACGAAGGGGAGGAGGTGAAGAGCATCTGCACAGCAGGAGTCAGCAGTTTGACATCAATGTACAGTGATCAGGAGGAGACAGACACAAGGATGGTGCTCCATGCCATACATCTTGCAGAGTCATATTCCCGCATCATTGTGAGGTCTGATGACACATGTGTGGAAGTACTGCTCATATATTATGCAAGCAAATACACATTTGGTTCATCTCTAGTGTACATGCATGCAGGCCATGGAATGAGAGAGAGATATGTCCCCATCAACATCATATGTGAGAAAATTGGAAAATACATGTCTAACGTCCTGTAGCTGGGCGGCAACTACAATGATGTCTACCTGCATGTCATACACTCACTGGCTGTGGCACAACAAGTAGTTTGTACAGAATAGGAAAGACAATCAGCATCAGCAGGTCATTTGTGACCCTGACCAGAGCTGTTTCAGTGCTGTGGGCGGAACGGAAACCGGACTGGAATTTCTCAAAGAGGCCTTTTAGGTGGAGATGGTCCTGAAGCTGGGCGGCAACTACATGTCTAACTGTCTACCAGCATGTCATGCACTCACTGGCTGTGGCACAACAAGTAGTTTGTACAGAATAGGAAAGACAANCTGGACCTGGTTTGGTGTGCCAACTAAAATAGCTTCTGTTTTGGAGCTATTTAGCTACAGGAATTGTTGTTGCATCCAAGCCTTTATCTCCTCAATGCAGGTGTTAAAGGATGTTGATGGGAACGGTGATGATGATGGTGACAGTGAGGAAGCATGTGGGATAGGTTCTATCTTTATATATAGCTGCGTGTCATCAGCGTAGCAATGGAATGATATTCCATGCTGGCTGATGACACGGCCAAGGGGCAGAGTGTACAGGGTGAACAGAGTGGGCCCGAGGACCGACCCTTGAGGGACACCACGGGTGACAGGGTGTGTCTGGGACCTCGCACCTCCCAAGGAGACGTACTCTGTTCTTCCAGACAGGTAGGACTGGAACCAGCTCAGGGCGGAGTCAGAGAGTCCGATGGTGTATTGGAGGCGCTGAACCAGTGTCAGCCGCCATCAGCAGGTCGTTTGTGACCCTGACCAGAGCTGTTTCAGTGCTGTGGGCGGAACGGAAACCGGACTTGAATTTCTCAAGCTGAAGCTGGGCGGAATTTCTCAAGCTGAAGCTGGGCGGCAACTACAATGATGTCTACCAGCATTGGACTGATGTTCACAAACTTGGATAACCTGAGGTTCATAATTGCATCAACAACAGCAGAAAATCTGCTGCCAACAGAGGATGCATTTCCACAACATGTACAAAGAGAAATGTTTCAGACAGCGATATGGTGTCACAGCCCGAACCCAAACCCTTGTTATGGAGTCCTGTTGGCAGGGGGTGGATTGTCAGAGGTGGGGCCATTCAACCAGTGCAATTTACAAAACCCCCAGCACCTACAGAAGTGAGAGACATTACCCACTAGTATTGCAAAGATGCAAAGTGTGGAGAGAGTGGAAAGTGCCAGTGCCTCTCTGTTGGCCTTCCCTGTACGGAGTTCTGCATCTGCTGTGCAGAATTTCAAAATGTGCCCGCTAACGTTTCTGAGGAACCTGACATTTAACATTATATTCTAGTATCTATATACTTGACATCTCACAGAATTATTTGATGACTTGTATACTGTACTTTGAATTAAGGTTCCAGTTTCAATAAAACCTGTACTATTTACAACTATGTTTTAGAGGCTTGCAATTTAGAACTAATACACTTTATTGTATTGGGTTACTCTTATTCTGACTATTTGGTGATGTAGTTCAGCCACCTAGTATTTCCCTCTCCAAATATAATGGCCATCAGAGTGAGCATTCTTAACTTATAGGCTATTGTGCCACTTATCCCCCATGCGGAATGTGACTGTCTCAGAGAAGAGGTAGGCCTATGTCTAAAGAAATCTCATTTGCAATAGAACTGTTTTGAACTCAAGTGCTAGGCTGACCAACATGCTGTCTTTTGACTCCTGCTGCTTGTGTGTATTTAAACAATACAAGTGTCAAGAAGACTCAAGAAATTCAAGAGGTTACACTTGACTTTACCTTATTCTTATGTGTTGGTCCTAACATGCAGAGTGAACTTTTTCTCATACATGAATCTGATATTTCTCTCTCCCATCCAGACCTTTCTCCTTGGACACTTTTGATGATTACCAGAAACACTTCACCGTCATGAACTATGCTGAGGGGGTGCAGCTTAAGCAGGTTCATAAAAAAATTTTGCCTTTCCTGGTTATTCATCCTTGCACTATTTATTTGTAGAATTAGTCTGTGGTCGCAAGATCATAGGCTTGCTGAAGCTTTTTCGTGTCAGAATTGTGTGGCGGTAATTCTTGAAATTAACTAGTCAAATGGTTATCCTTCTGAGTCTTTAATCATCTTCTGCAAAAGAAGCACACAGAAAGCAATGTCTCCACAGCCGAGTGCAACAACTCAAACTGAAGCGAGGGCTCAACCAGGCTGATTATATGACGTAGGGGCACCTAGTGACTAATGTTATGGAAATTATGATTATAAGAGAATTGAATGCTGTGATGTTATATAAAATTTAAATAATAATATTCTGTAAGCCTTACATATCAAGAGACAGTAGATCTCAGCACTCAGGAAGAGGATCAGTCTCAAGGTGCCATGTGACCAGACTGTGGGTGATCAGTGATCCGAGAAAGGGAGTTACACAACAGAGGTCTATTGTACTCTGTTGAATGAATATGAAATGAAAACTAAAAAAACTTGAATCTGTTTTCATGAATTGTTACATTTGTTATGTCTGTAACACCAATAACCATCTCTCTGTTTCTAGGTGCACTACGATGAGTTCATCCCCATGTTTGACAACCAGTACCCGCTGTATCCATGGAAGGAGGTGGAAGTAAGTGAACACTTTGAACCCTTTAACGGGGGGCACTTCCAGGATGTTTTTGAATGAAGGAACTCACCTCATTACGAATAGTTTTCTGTTCAGGTCCAGCAATACCAATATGAATCCCTCTGATTATCTTCCAGCGTGTCCTAAGCCTCAACCAGAATAGTAACCAAATGTTATGTCTCTCTTTAAACTTCTGTTACGACTGGCTCGAAAGCTGCAACAAAACGCAGAGTTAGAGTGAACCAAAGATTGTTTTATTATTCGACAAAGAAACAGCAGAAACTTGGGCATGCAAAAGCAGGGCCGTGTGGAGGGGGAAAAGGGTGACTGCAGCCCTCCTCATGCCTTTATGCAGACCTTGATTAGGGAATTGGGATCACCCGTGGGAGAGGCTGCACCTGAAGGGTGATAATCAGGGGACAGGAGGAAGGACACACACAAACACACACTAGCAGACATCCTGCCCGTATCTAATTTCTGAGATTCCCCTCCTCAACTCCTATCCTCGTGTCTTAGTCCCGCCAACAGGAGATGCGAGCCGAGGAGGACGCTCGAGGAGCAGCATGCTGATATAACTGGCTTCCCCAAGCCGATCAATTAGCTCATCTATCCTGGGCATAGGATTGCTTAAAACTTGGAGATTTCATTCAATTTTCAGAAATCATTACAGAACATGTTGGTGTTGTCTGGCTTAGGAACCAGAACGACAGGGCTGGTCCACTCACTGTGAGATTCTTCAATCACCCCCATAGCCAGCATTTTCTGCACTTCTTGCTCAATGGCCGCCTGTCTTTCCTCCGGCACCCGGTAGGGCCGCATCTTTACCTTTTGGCCCGGCTCTGTGTGGATTTGATGTTCCACCATCGTTGTGCGTCCAGGTCGTAGTGAGAACACATCCAAACTCTGCTGAACCAGTTCCTTGGTTTGCTGTAACTGAGCTTTGGACAGCCCTGGACTGTATTCAACTTCGGCCACCTCATGGTCTGGAGAAGAGTGGGACACAACCGGGGAACAACAACACAGCAGTGCCTCTCGGGCGTACCATTTCTTTAACAGGTTAACATGGTATATTTGGGATGGTTTGCGACGGCCAGGTTGGCGTACCTTGTCCCACCTTCTCTGCCACTTCATAGGGACCTTGCCACTATGCCAGATGCCACACTTTGAAAACCCCTGCTCTATAGCTCTTACCACCCCTGGCCAGTGGAACCGGCTCCCAATCCGCTGCCTTGTCTTCTCAAACCCTAGGTGGGCCCCTAGGACATGGCTGTGAGCCAGATGCAACACTGTGGACACATATTGTTTTGGGACAACCAACAAGTCTCTTCGCTGACCTTCAACCTCTTTGGCATAGTATAACAGATGATTTTTTATTAGGAAATGAGGACATGTAAGCTCACCTACTCCTGGAACTGGTTTTCCCTCTATTTCCGTAACATTGCTGCGTGCATGCAACAGATTGGGGTCTTCCATCTGGGCGGTCTCGAACTGGCCCTTCAAACTTGGAAGCAATGCGACTTCACCCTCCTCATCACCTGTGCTTAGGTCCCCCGGGAAAGCAGCAAAAGGGTTATCATTTGCCTCGTCTGCACTGGAAGATTGGTTGCCTCTCTGCTCCTCCGGCACAGCACACACACAACTTTGGGGGACTGCTGAGGAGACTTAGCCTTTGGCACGCTTGGGCTTTTTGGGACTCACCTCCTTCTGGTGTCGCAGGCACTTGTACAGTGGGCAGTCTCGCCCCACCAAGACTGGGACTGGTAGGGAAGGAACCACCCCCACTTTCAGCTCACAGCTGACTTTAACTGTGGTAAGGTGGGATGAGGCAAGTGGGGTATAATTTAGTGGCCCCCATGGACACAAGAGACTGGCACAGTCTCTTCAGATGGCAAATGGTCAAGGAGGTGGGGTTGAATGAGGGACACCACACTTTCTGAGTCCACTAACGCCTCTGCATCTTTTCCATTTACCTTGACTGGTATCATTTGAGCCAGGGAGCTTTCCTGTACCCAGCAAGAGTCAAGAAGGTGGCAGGGCCTTGTACCAGATGAGTTGGCGGTCTGCATTGGCTCATCCTTCCCTGGGCAGTCCCGGGCAATGTGGCCTGTCTCCCCACACTGGTAGCAACGCGGTTGGCCCTCTGGCAGGTAGGACTGTCGATGAATCGGCCTGGGTTAGGCTGCACGGTTGCTTCCCTCTCGATAGGAGGGGCTGCTGTTAGGCATTTTTGGACCTCCAAATGGAGAAGCGCATTCTGTTTCTGCTGCTGTATCATCTGCCGTTGCAGAGTCTGCTGCTCAGTAGAAATACGCACCAACTCCCTTAGTACATCCTCCATCTTGAAAACGAAAAAACTTTTTTTTTCTGACTGCAACACCACCACTAGAGTCCTTATGCCCGCATTCTCCACCAGTGTAACAGGACTGGGCAGATAAAGAGACAAGTGGTAGTGTAGCAATCACGACAGAGGCAGTGTTCAAGTCCAAAAAAGAGGCTTTATTGCTGTTAAACTCAAAAATACCTTTAACTATACAAAGGCTAACGTAGCCGGGCCACTAAGCAACTTACCAGCTTACAAGATGTTTCCTCACGCTGGGAGTCTCCTGCTCCCTCCATGTGCCACACACAACTGAGCAACTCTGTGTGCTTTGTCTCCCTTGAGAGAGTGATTAGCACCAGGTGTGAGGTCTCCACACCTGCTCCCAGTACTGTTAATTGGAAGCGGGTGGAGCCACCTATTAGGAATGTAGGTGCCTCCCACTACTCTGCCTCTCAGTTCCTTACACCTGTAATATGACTTGATAGATTTAAACTCCGCACACTGAGCTCTGATTGGTCAGCAGGCGGTGCTTTCACTGAGTTGATTTTTGACGCCGGAGGCGGGCAGCGTCAGGTTAAAAAAAAGTGATTTAGCCTTCCTAAACCTGAGCCTCACGCGCCGCCTATGGGCCCGACATCTATCGACATCTATCGACATCTATCGACATCTATCGACGCCGATAATCGGCTCGGTGTGTAAGGGGCTTAAGAGTGATCTGATTTGGCTAACTGGATTGTAATTTTTTCTTATTTTATTCTTTATTTATTATTAGGGCCGGGACTCGATTAAAAAAATTAATCTAATTAATTACAGGCTTTGTAATTAATTAATCGCAATTAATCGCATTTTTAATCACATTTAAATATTTGACCTGAGAACAGTGAGAAGCAATTTTTTTCACATGGATTTTAGTAAACCATTGAATAATGACTGAATACATAAGCTTAANATAAATTGATTTAATTCAATCTACTGTACTGTGTAAAAACACCCCAACAATATTATAAAAAATATACTGCATAAAGCAAGCTATATACTTTATTTGATCTAAAATATTGATGTTTTTTCATTATAGTAGCCTGTGAAAACCATAACAAATAAGTGATTAAATGCTACAATATTCAGCAAACACAACTGCAGAGCTGCAAACATTGCAAACANACATCTCTCAGTGGATTTCTGCTCACCACCTCAAGCTCAACCTTGACAAGACTGAACTGCTTTTCCTTCCGGGAAAAGATTGTCCCACTCTTGACCTAAGTTAGGTCAAGAGTGGGACAATCTTTTCCCGGAAGGAAAAGCAGTTCAGTCTTGTCAAGGTTGAGCTTGAGGTGGTGAGCAGAAATCCACTGAGAGATGTCAGCTAGACAAGCCGAGATGCGTGCAACGACCTGGGTCTCTGAGCGGGGAAAGGACAGAATGAATTGGGTGTCGTCAGCGTAGCAGTGCTATGAAAAACCATGCAGGCTAATGACAGATCCGAGCAAGTTTGTGTACTGAGAGAAGAGGAGGGGACCAAGAACAGAGCCCTGAGGGACCCCTGTAGTTAATTGACAAGGGTCGGACTCGGACCCTCTCCAAGTTACCCTGTAGCTACGGTCTTTGAGGTATGAGGTGAGGAGGGAAAGTGCAGAGCCTGACACACAAAATTCTTGGAGAGTGCGAAGGAGGATCTGATGATTCACCGTGTCGAATGCAGCAGACAGGTCCAGAAGGATGATGACAGAGGAGAGGGAGGCTGCTTTAGCAGTGTGCAGTTCCTCAGAGACAGCAAGGAGAGCAGTCTTTGTTGAGTGACCTGCCTTGAAACCAGACTGGTGCGGATCCAGAAGGTTGTTCTGATGGAGATAACAGGAGAGTTGTTTAAAGACAGCGCGTTCAAGTGTGAGGAGAGAGAGAGGCCTGTAGTTTATAACATCAGACGGGTTGAGAGTGGGTTTCTTTAGGAGAGGGTTTACTCTTGCCTCCTTGAGACTGTTTGGAAAGTGACCAGAAGTTAGAGAAGTGTTGATGAAATGGGTGAAAAATGGTAGAATATAAAAGGTCAGTGCATGGGTGAAAGGGGGGTCTGGTGACCCAGTGGTGAGTAATGGTGAGTCAGAAAAAGAAGACCGAATATCATCAACCTTTTTTTCAAAGTAGTTAACAAAGTCGCTTGACAGAAGGGAGGAGGGGGAAGGGGCTTTGGGGGGGTCTAAGATGTGGTGGAAAAGATGGAAAATAGTTTTTTTGGAATAGGAAGATTGGATCTTATCTTGAAGGAAAGTGTTATTTGCCTGAGAGATCGAAGCAGAGAAAGAGGAGAGGAGAGCCTGATAGTTAGGAGGTCGTCATGGTGTTTGGATTTCCACCGTTTCCGCTCTGCTGCCCGAAGGATGGTTCTATTAGCACGCAGTGCGTCATTTAGCCAGGGAGCAGGAGGGGACTGATGAGCCGGCCGAGATGTGAGAGGACAGAGAGAGTCCAGAGAGGATGAGAGAGTAGAGAGGAGTTTCTGCAGCTGAGTTTGGAGGCAGGAGTTGGAACGAGTCAGAGGAAGGGAGGGCTGAGAGCAACGATGAGGCAAAGGTAGAGGGGGAGAGGGAACGAAGGTTATGGCGGACAGGTGCAGGATGAGAAGAGATTAGTTTGTTATGTTTGGAAAGGGGTAGAGAGAATGAAATTAAGAAGTGATCCGAGGTGTGGAGCGGGTTTACAGAGAGGTTAGAAGTAGTGCAGTTCCTTGAGAATATGATATCAAGGACATTGCCAGCGTTATGAGTTGGTGGGGATGGAGACAGTGAGAAAGCAAAGGTGGTTAAAAGAGATGTTAGTTCAGCTATCTTCCCTGTCTGGAGGTTGAAGTCTCCGAGAAGTACAGCGGGAGGGCCAGTTTCAGGGATGTGTGAAAGGAGATTATCTAAT